AAACTAAACCATCTCCTTCCGTGGATGGCCAGCTGGTTCAACCTAAAAGAGCTAAACAAAGCCAAAAGAATATTCTCTAAAAACAGATCCATGACATTTGTCATGCGCTGTGAACTGAATATACATTCCTTTCTTGAAAGCTCTCCCCAACTCTCCCCCTCTGTCCTCAGTGTCATTTTGACCTGACACTGGCCTCAGTGACCCTGTTAACTCTTCTCAAACAGAGCAAACCCCTCTATTCTGTGTGCAGTGAGTGCTCGTGGTTCCCCAACCGGATCCCCGTGAGTGGACCCCCACTTGCCTGGGGCAGGACAGGCCTGTAGAGCCAGTCCTACACAAGGCCCCAGTGGGATCAGGCTAGGGCCACATGCCTGCTACCCTGTGCAGTTCCCCCCTGCCTCGCAGGCTTCTCCCAAGAGCCTACCCTTCAATACATCGGTTTATAAGAATCACCATCTCAGGGACTTCTCTTGTGGTCCAGTGGCTAAGCCTATGCACTCCCAGTGTTGGGGTCCCAGGTTCAGTCCTTGCTCAGGGACCTAAAGATCCTGCATGTCACAACTAAGTCCGGGCACAGCCAAATAACTAAAAATAAAAGTAATTATTTTTAAAAAAAGAAAAAGAATCAACTGCTTGTAGGGAACCCAACCTAAGACCATCTGGATTGAAAATAGCCACTTGTTTGCCAATATATTTTCACAAGATGGTAACGGAGCTTCTTCTTTCTACTCCAGTTTCTTTCAACCTGGAGTCAGATGTCACATGGCTACTCCCCACAACTCTCCACCTCACTCGCACACCCGCAATCTCCTCTTTCCTTGGTGAAGCCATATCCAAAAGAGAAGTCTAATCTTTTCTTTCATCTACTTGGATATTAAGGTCAGACATTTCCAGGCTCCGGTTTCCCTGGGTCTTTTCCAAGATGTTTCCTCCTGTTCTGAATCTTTCCTTAGATGCCCTGTTCTCTCTGGGGCTACAGAGGGCAGGAGGAGATGAGGGGGAGGGGATTCACCCCGCTCTTTGGGCCCCATCGGGCTCTGTCCACCTCTCAACGCTGTCCCTCCAATTCTCAATACAAGGGTCCAGAGTTCTTAGGTAAGTTTTTACACTAATCATGGACTGGCCCGACCAGACTGGGAGCAACCGTAACCTTCACTGAACTAGCTACTGTACTTGGGAAAACTGTCCACATCTTTGCTTCTGGTCCAAACACAATATTTACCTGTCACTGTCCAGAGTAAAAATCCAGCATCTGCGTCTCAACCAAAGGCAAAACCAAGTTCACAGAATTCTGGTGAGCTCTTTGGAGCTAGTGAGGTGGTTCATATGAGCTACAAGGTCAGAGGATTCCCAAGTCTTTGCTCTTTTTACCGATTATCCCTTTGGCACAGAGCTCAGAGCTCACAGGGTGGGCCTCTCGAGCCAGGCCAGGTCTGTCCCTCCAGCTCCTGCTCAGCAGCATGACCACAGCTGGTGGCCTTTTGCTGATCTGCCAGCATCTAATCTGTCAACAAGCCCTTGACTCCTCTCTCTGGTTCATCATTACCTGGAGGCAAGTCTCCATCAGAAAATAAACCAGAGCAGGGAAAACAGGTTCAAGACATTTCTTTAATACTGTTTGTTAACCACCGTAAAGAATCTGCCTGCAATGCAGGAGACGTGTGTTCGATCCCTGGGTCGGGAAGATCTGGAGGCAGAAATAGAAACCCACTCCAGTATTCTTAACTGGGAGATCCCATGGACAGAGGAGCCTGGCAGGCTATAGTCTATGGGGTTGCAAAGAGTTGGACACAGCTGAACATCAGAAGACCAGAGGACTAGAACTGGCTCTGGGCCCCTTAAGAAGCTTAAGGAGGAGTCACCTTAAGAGTTAAAATTATGATTAAAAAAATTAAAATCATTATCTATAGATTCAGTGATCTAAGAACTGTCCAATAGAGACTCAAATGCAAATCAGTTGGACTTTCCTGGAGGTCCTATGGTTAGACTCTGCTCTTCCACTGTAGGGGGTAAGGGTTCAGTCCCTGGTCAGGGAACTAAGATCCCACACGCTGCAATGGTATGGCCAAAAAAAAAAAAAATTCAAGTCACTTTGTAATTTTAGAGTTCACCATATTTTTGGTGAGAGGGCCGTACCGCCTAGCTTGCAGGATCCCTGGGATTTTCGGCCTCTCCTTTAACAGTCACTAGAGGTCTATAAAAATCTTGCTCCTCCTTCAGGGCTCAACCAAGAGGCCACTTCCTCCGAGAAGCCTCCCTGATGCCACTTTTTCTTCTTTCTGGCACACCCTCTGGCTTTCTTGGGGAGTCTAGGGTTTGGGTTCTTTCTATGTGGGCTGAGGTCTCTGGAAGCACAGAGGTGAGTCTTCAGGCCTCAGGAAAACTCTGCCAACTATTTCAACATTCACCACCTCTAATAGCTCATATTTACTAAATGCTTGGGGGTCGGGGGCAGGAGGAAAAGGGGACAACAGAGGATGAGACAGCTGGATGGTATCACCGACTCGATGGACATGAGTTTGGGTAAACTCCGGGAGTTGGTGATGGACAGGGAGGCCTGGCGTGCTGTGATTCATGGGGCCGCAAAGAGTCAGACACGACTGAGCGACTGAACTGAACTGAACTAAGTGCTTACAGAGTGCAAAGCACTTTATACACCATTATTGCCCTTAAATCTCACAGCCATCACTTAGGTGATAGGTATTAAAACCCCACGCCTACTTTAGAGATGGACAAACTAAAGCAAAAAAAAAAAGTAATTTGGACAAGCCTGCACAGACAGCTAGCTCAGATCTGGATTTCTTAACCACTATGTGACCGATTCAATTTGCAAACTCTTCCCTGAGAGTGGTCAGTCCCTCATATTTCCACTAATGGAGAATTAACTCAGTCACAGATGAGGCAGCTCCATGTTTACTCCACCTGACCATACCAGCAGCCCACAATGCTCCCCGAGCCCCCTTCACTTTGTCTTAAAGGCCAGGATCCAGGATCAGGGAGTGGCCAGAGAACCCATCAGGCAAGGAGCTGCAGAAGAAATAGGCCATGCCCTCAACGACATCCTCAGAAAAAGATGCAAAGCTGAGGAATTCTCCAGGACAACCAACGACAAATGACTAGGCAACTGATCCCCAGTTTCTCAACCCTTTGGGTTAGTTGCCTATTAGACCAGCTTTGTAGCCACTTGTTGGATTCATTGATAGCTGGGGCTGCCCCACCAACCACAGAACCCCTCCACCTTTCATAGGACCATCTACCACTCACAGGACATCTACCACCTACAGCACCCTATTTAGGACCCTCCATAATTACCCTACCACCAGCCACTCCCTAAGCATTCTTCCTGCTTCAACCCAAGGTGTCAGCCTGGCCACACAGAGGTCAAACTTTTACAGGTTCTCTCATGTTCAGGACTGAAATGAAAGCATTAAAGCCAGACCCCAGAGAGCATCCGCTACTGATTCTACTTTCATCACATTCAAAGCCAGACAACAGTCAGTGATGCTGCCAGAAGTCAGGCTAACAGTGCCTCTTGGAGGTAAGGTGACAGTAACCAGAGGGGGTGCGGGGCAGCGCAGTGACTTACAGGGTCTGTCAATACTCCCACTGGTTAGATGGGTGTGTTCACTCTGTAGAAACTCCTACATTCTCAAACTGTGCGCTTATGACATGTGTGCTTTTCTGGATGCATTGTTACATTTAAATTAAAATTTAAATGAAAATTTCACTTTAGCAAAGTTTTTTTTTAAAGGAAAAAAGAAAAACCTTTTAGCATGTCAGACCACTGTTTGGGGTGAAGGACACCCTTCTGAGGCCAGGAAGCAGCTCATGGCTAGTACCCTAAGAACAATATGTGTGACAGAGTCTATAAAGGAAATCTCAATAGCAAAGATCCGAGAAGTGCCCTATGTGGGGCTTGGGGAGCTGAGAGCCTCACTGAGAGAGAGGAGTGGACATTTTCCCACCCCCAAAATGCCCGGGGTCGGGTGGGGTGGGGTGGTGGGAGGGGAAACCCTAAACCCTGAAAGGGCCTGAGGGGTCAGCAGGACTATAAATAACAAATTCTAGGGATTGTAGGGAGAGAGGGACCCGCATAAGACTGTCAGGATGGGATGAGAGGATGGAGCCCAGTGGGGTGTGTTGAGGGTTCGGAGGGGCTGGAACAGGAGGCAGATTTGAAGATGGGAGCCAGACCGACAGGGGCTTTATATGGAGCCCATCAAGATGGAGACTTTGGATTTCATCCTGCCCAGAGTTGGAGAATTTTTTTTTTTTTAAGCTGGGAAATGGCATCTTAGAATTCTCAAGGGATCTCTCTGGCAAAGGTGTGGCCCTCAAGGAGAAGCCTGCAGACCAGACATCTCCTACACAAAACTAGGGAGGCTACCAGCAATCAGAGATGCTGGCAGAGCAGCGAGCCGGCACCCCCAGGGCTGTCTGTGGAAGGAGCTGGTGGGGACTCAGGCCTGCTGCGCAAGAAGGGGGCACTGCGGAAGGCTGAGGGGGCAGGCACTTGCCCGCCCGCCTGACCTCCCGCGCCCCGACCCTTCCTCCCCACCCCCGCAGAAGGCTTGGAGAGCGCTAAGTCCGCTGAGTGTTTTCTTCTCTTTCTGAGCTCCCAGGAGGAACAAACGTGATGCTATTTTGAGACAGGCTCACTTCCCGAGAGAGAAGCACAAAATATCTGCAGAGGGACCATAGGAACCGCGTTCCAGCATCAGCCCGGCCCGATGGTTGCACCTGACGCCCAGATGCTCCGTGTGGGCATCCCAGGGCACTCCCAACCAGTCACCTGCCTCCAATCGCATCTCACTGGAGGCGAGACCAGGCTGAGAGAGGGGGGTGGTCGCGGGCCCCAGGGGGCACTGCTGGCAGGCGGCCTGGCTCCAAATGGCCCTCCCTCCGCTCCCCTCACCCCCACCCCGCGATCCTTCTAGAAACACGGCTCTGCTCAGGGCTCCCTCCTGCTTGGCGCAGGAGCTCACGCCGCGCCCCCTCACCTGTGTGCGTGCGCACATGCCGCTTGAGGTCGAAGGTGTCGTTGAAGCCCTTGCCACAGAAGCTGCACAGGTGCCTCTTCACCTGGCTGTGGCACTTGAGGTGCCGGTTGAGCATGCGCTGCAGACGGAAGGCCTTGCCGCACAGGTCGCAGGTATGCACGGCCGCATCGCTGCAGGTGCCTGTGGTGAACTGGGGCAGAGAGGGGCGTGAGGTCCAGTGCGGGATTGGGGGGGCGGGGGGTAGGGGAGGGGTTGGCCCTGGCTTGGGCTGCCCCGCCCCCTACTAAAAATTCCCAACAGGTGTAGGCTTTGGGCAGTGAGGTGGAACAGGGCAGCTCCCCCTACATCCATGATCTGGATTTCCAGCGGCGCCCCGCCCCCAGCAAGTGGGGGTGGGACCACCAGCCTAGGAAGATACACTCTCTGGGAGGAGGAGGATGGTGCCCTTCCTGGCCTTAGTCCTTCCTGCTTGCTAGAGCTCAAGCTGCCACCTCATACCCTGAGGGGGAAGCCAGTGCTGAAGATGGAAGGGAGAAAGAAGAGAGGAGTGTAGGTCTGCTAACATCCCAGAGCCCCCAGAGACAGCCACAGTCAATTTCTTCCTTCCCGGCCTGCACTGAGGTTGAATCCATCAAAAGAGACTGCCTCCTCGCTCCCTGGATCTGGCAGAGCCTGTGTCACTTCCAGATCTTAAGAGACCTAGCAGCGCCTTTTCTCCCTCCTCTCTCTTGGAAGCCAGAGGCCACCAAGAAGCCGGAGCACCCCATGCTGTGAGGAAGCCCAAGCAGCTCGGCGGAGGAGCAGTGAGGTGCCAGGTGTGGATACGGGGCCACTGGACCTTCCAGCCCACCCAGGACTACCACCAGCTGAGTCAACAAACCGGCCCAAAGGAGAACTGCCTAGCCCAGCCATGCCCCAGCTCCTGACCCAGAATCATGAACAAATGACAGTTGGCTTCCGAAGGGACTTGGTCAGGATCCCATGGCTTCATTACCAGAAAAACCATAATCAAATCCCAGGTTCTGAACAGTCCGCTCCACTCTCTCAACTGCATTTGCTGCCTCAAAGGAAGAAAACAGAATCTCTAACTATGTGATGAAAAACACCAGATCTGTTATGTTCATCAAAGGTTTCCTAGATCCTTTAGAAGATGGAGCCAATTGTTCTGCCAAAATTCTATTCATAAAAGAACCTAAAAAACTTGTTTCAGACAAGTGTCATTCGCAAGAAGAGTTGGTCCCTTCCTGGCTTAACACCTTCCAAGTCTCAAACATCCTCCTTTCATCCACCCGAGGTACCACCTCCACCTAGCCCAGCTCACCTGTTCCCTCCCAGATAAGCTTCTCCAGACTCTGCAGTGCCTGCCCAAACTGGTCCCAGTACCCCTAATCCCAGAGCCCCTCAATCCCCAGTGTGCACACAAATCTTCTGGGGGTCTTGTTAAAATGCAACTTCTGATTCAGGAGGTCTGCTGGGGTCTGAATGCTGCATTTCTAGCCAGCTCCCGGGAGACGCCATGGTGCAGTCCATGGACCACACTTGAGACATGAAGGACTGGCCTTCAGATGGTTTAGCACTTTATTACAACTCATTCCAGAAGCTTCCATCACACAGAAACATTTCCTCAGGGTTCACCTGTCTTCCTCAACTAAACACCTGGTGGAAGACAGCAAGTGTTTGTGCAGGTTCCAACCCCCATGCCCCAAGCCTAGATGGCAGCCCTGCACCGTGCAGGTCAGAAAGAGTTGCTGGACAATGACTCACAGGTAGCAGAAGGTGAAGACCCCAGAGCAGGGCTTTTCAGCAGGCCCCCTCCAGCGGTTCATTCTCAATTGCTCCATCTTAGTCTCAGCCGACATTAATGTGTGCCTAATCCCAGACAGAGCCTGTGCTCCGAGCTGGAGGGTGCCCCGTCATCAGGATGGCTTGTCCCCAAGAAGCAGCTGGTCTAGGCACAGGCCTAGGCACAAGCCACTGCCATCTGGGAAGTCCAGGGTGCAAGAGGCTGCTCAGAGGGGCACCTAACCCTGGACGGGGGGCCCTGGTGCAAGGAAACATGCTTCTCGGGAAGTGAGTGTCTCAGCCAAAGAGGGGGAAGAAGATGGGGGAAGGGCAAAGAAGATTCAGGAGAGGGCTGGGAAATAGGAGCTGCGTGGGGTCCGTTTTGGCTAGCCTGAGCCCTGGAGAGCAGCTGATGAAGAGAGCCGAGGAACCAGAGAAGCGGAGAAGGGCAGGGCTCTACCCGGGATCCCCAGTGAACTGGACTGTCAGAGGACGGTGGGAGGTGGGGCACACTGGAAGATATAAGAGGACCACGGGGCTCGAGTCTAAAGACCTTCCTGCCTCATACCCCGCCTCTGCCCTGTGTCTGCTGAAGTGGTGGAATGTGACAGAGCCTGAGGGCAACTCCACCGTGCCCAAGGCTCTCCCGTCACCAGGACAGGTCACGGTCTCCCCCTTGTCCACAGTGCCCAAGTCCCCATTCTCGTCACTGCCTCCATTGAAGGGATGTGAGAAAGACTAAATATAGCCCAAATCTTGGCAAAGGGTGCTTCTCAAAGCCAAGTCTACACAGGAAGAAGGTGGTCATTTGAGAGGTCGCACAGCTAATAAAATAGAACACAGGCAAATGACCCTGGTCATTCTGATTAGAAACGTGAAGAAAGGGAGAGCTGTCTTCTGAAAGCCCTGTATCAACATGCCCGGGGATCGTGTCGATCACAGTTCCAAACTGGACTCTTATTTACTTTAATCCTCTCAGTAAATTCCTATTTTTAAAATGCTCTGCATGCAACATAGATACCTCCTATGACTGTCTAGGGTGGAAATCTGATATCAGTGACACTTTTTAGTTTGAAAAGAAGAAAATGCTGAGGGCAGAGGGGAGGGGGTAGGTAACCACTGAAGGCGGTGCAGGGCCAGCAGGCCATCTGAGCAAGATATAGACAGCTTTCTAACCTTGGGTAGCAAAGAGGAGTGAGGGGACTGCAGAGGGAGGGCACCCCATTCTCAGGGAACTTCCCTCTGGTCTTCCCAGAGCAAAAGGAAAAGTTCTCCCCTGAGCCTCAGTGAAGGCAGGGTTCCCATTTCTCCACGTTTATGCACATCCCCATTTCACAATGTGGAAAACGGAGTCACTGCTAAATGTTTATCCGGAGAATCCCCAGAAAGGACCACTTGCTGCCTGTAATTGTGTCCTGAGCAGTCCAGCCCCAGACACTGATGAATTGTATCCAGAGCCTCTGAAGAGAGTCTCTCTTTGAAAGATGTAGGGTTAATCAAAGGCAAAAGATCATGGCTGATAAAGCCAGCTTCTGCCAAACTAGTTCACTTGTCAGAAAGAAAGCACAGGATTTTCCTGGTTCAGTGGTTAAGACTCTGAGCTCCAATGCAGGGGGGTACATGTTCAATCCCTGGTTGGGAAATCAGATCCCATGTGCTGAACGGCCAAGAAAAAAATTTTTTTAATGACAAAAGAGAAGGAAAAATTCCTTCATCAGAAAGAAAAGAGAGATGCCTTATTACTCAGCCATAAGAAAGAATGAAATATTGCCATTGGTGGCAACATAGACAAAACTGGAGATGATCATACAAGTGACGTCAGAGAAAGATAAATACTATATGATATCACTTATATGTAGAATCTAAAAAATAATACAAATTAACTTATTTATGAAACAGAAACAGACTCACAGATATAGAAAACAAACAAAGAAGGAGGGGAGGAGGGACAAATTAGGAGTATGGGATTAACAAATACACACTACTATATATAAAATAGATAACCAACAAGGATTTACTCTATAGCCCAGGGAACTATATTCAATATCTTGTAGTAACCTATAAAGGAAAAGAATGAGAAAAAAAAAAAAATATATATATATATATATACACACACATATATATGTATAATGGAATGTCTTTGCCATACCTGTAAAACTAACACAATATTGTAAATCAACTATACATCATTTTTTTTTTTAAAAAAAGGAGAAATTCCCAAGAATTCTACAGAAAAATATTTGGAGGATAAATTTCTAAAGATGAAATTTATCCCACAGAGTGCACTTCACATATGCCTGGAAATTTGGTCTGTGATAGCAAAAGGCTGGAAAACTACCTACATGTCCATCAATAGGGACTTGTTACAAAATAAAAAAAAAAGATGGTAGGATCATATAATGAAAGCAGCTAGAAAAAAAGACAGAAGACTGACTATCAGCCACCTGAGTAAGCCCTCCTGGATATCCAGCCCAGGAGACTCCAGTCCCACTGGCATCCGACTACACCCGAAAGAGAAACCCCAGGCAAAACCCACCCCACTGAGCACAGTCAAGCCACAGAACTAGAAGATACTGTAACACATTATACCAAGCTACTAAATCTGGGGTTATCTGTGAAGCAGCAGCAGATCACTGGAATGGTAATAGATGTATCACATTCTCTTAAGATCACCATATGTGTGTGTGCTAAGTCACTTCAGTCGTGTCCAGCTCTTTGCATCCCCATGGACTGTAGCCCTCCTGGCTCCTCTGTCCATGGGATTCTCCAGGCAAGAATACTGGAGTAGGTTGCCATGCCCTCTTCTGGGGGGGAGTCATCCTGACCTAGGGATCGAACCCCTGTCTCCTGGGACTCCTGCACTGCAGGCGGATTCTTTACCACTGAGACACCGGGGGAAGCCCCAAATGGGATTAGATGAGCTCTTTTCTTAAATTCAAATCTTGCTCTACCACTCAGTCTGGGAAGTAGGCAAGTTACTCACCCTCTCTAAGGGTAATTTCACACCCCTCTCCCCATAAAATGTGGACAATAACAATACTTGCCTCTTGGGATTGTTAAGGAATACTGATTGCTCAGTAAATCCTAACTCTTAGAGTTTGACAAGTTCCAGCATCCTGTGATCCTAAATAAAATGTAATTGGTCAAAACCTCATTTCTCCACCTGTCTTTTGAGTTTTCCTCTCACTGATGAAAGAAAAAGGAAACTAACCTTCAGTGTGGGTCACTAGCCCCTAGTCCTTCATCTGCAACTCCAAAATCGAAAAAGTTCTGAAAACCAACATTCTCTTATCTCCATTGGCAACAAAACCAGAAGCTACCGTTTGGTGTCAATACTCATGCTTTGATATAGAAATTATTAATGTGTGCAATTATAGGGTACTGCTCCAGATACTGTGTCATCTTCTGAAAAAGTTTAATAGTCTCACCCTTAATCCAAAATTAACTCTCCAAAAGGCTCAGCACTCAAGTGGGGAAGCTACCATGGAGGGTGGGAGGTTACATCAGTCTGGAGATTCATTAACTAATTGGCAATTAATTCAGGGCCGAAAGATGAAGAGAGACAGTTAATTCTCCAACCCTGCAGCTTGGCGCTTTCTTATTTGCTGTCCTGTTTTCTTCAGGATCTCAGCTTTCATTTAAAATACACATAAAATTCCCCTCTAGTTCTTCTGAAAAACAGTCCTCTGCAGCAGAACAAACCCATCATTGTATCGGAGCTACGGAAGACTTCAGGAGCATCCAGGGAGGTGGGGACTTGGGCTGGCCCTCTGACCAACTTCAAAGCTGGCTAAGGTCACCTACCTGTCAACTTCTAAAGGTAAAAAAAAAAATCCTTTATTTTCTGTGGATGCTTCCACCACACAAGTTCCTTAAATTAATGGACCTATTTCCTGCAGTAGGCTATCGTGGGTCTAGGCTACCTTCCATGGCCACGTGGACAAGATTACCACTGACACATCTGCTTAGGTCTGAGTGCTCAAAACGTGCTAAGTGTAATTCCCCAATTCCTTTGGGATAAAAATACCCCTCCTGCATCCTTAAGCATCACAATTCCACTACATGGCAGAATGCAGTCTTCCCAAATGCAGAGATGCTGAAGGGAACATATCCTTATCATCCAGAAGAAACCAGGGCTAAAACACTTGCAGGTGCGCACACTGACATTTTGATGGGGCTTGTAGTCTGCAAAATGTGTGCCGACACCTCCCAGGGACAGGCCCATGGGTCTGGGCACGATGTGTGGGAGAGGGAGGGATAACCCTGTGCTTTGTCTCCTGTCACGTGGTAGAAACTGCTTCAGGTTCCCTCATGTCACACTAGTGGCTAAGGTGGTAGCACAACAGCATAACTACACAACAACACTACAACAACAGCACAATATAAGGAGCAAGGAGCCTTAGTTTGGGCTTTGCCACTAGCACCTGTGAGGACCTCAAAACAACCTCTCTGGCTTTATCTTTCTCCCCATAAGTATGAGGAGACTGGACCACATCTGGGTCCCTGAGTAGATCCTATGAGTGGACAGGCTCAGCCTCTGTCCCTGCTCTGGGGTGGACCATCCTGCATAGGAGAGGCTAGAAAGCATGACACAACATTTCCCAGAATCCCTCACAGCTGTGGTCTTTAGATGTGACCTGGGTTCCACCAGTTACATGCACTGTTGGAGATTTGACTTCAGGCGGGCCTGAGTTAATTGAGCCGAGGCAAGTATGCAGCAATTGTTTCACACCCTGCATTAGCGGAAGCATCATGATGGGCAAACAGCAGCCATAGCGGCCACTGCAGCAGCTCCTTAGGCAGCCCAGTTCTGCAATGTGGCTCTGGGAGTCACCCCTGGGAGCTCAGCCTGATCTCTCTTTATCCCAGTTTGAAAGGAAGTGTTAGTTGCTCAGTTGTGTCCGACTCTTTTCAACCCCATAGACTATAACTCGCCAGGCTCCTCTGTCCATGGAATTCTCCAGGCAAGGATACTGGAGTGGGGTGCCATTTCCTTCTCCAGGGGATCTTCCTGACCCAGGGATCAAACCCAGGTCTCCTGCATTGCAGGCAAATTCTTTACCATCTGAGCCACCAGGAAAGACTCACCCCATTTAATGCCCCGTAATTAACCATCATCTGCAGCTCACACATTGTTCTCCTATTTCTCCTTTTCCCCCTTTAAATTAATTTAAGCTTTTTCAAGTATCCAGTCCAAGCATTTTCCCCTTTTCCCTTCCTGTTTTTCCCCAAACGCTGTCACTTATGTCTAGGGACTGTTGACTCCTCCTTCCCTGCCTGTATTTCTCTTCCATGTTGACGTATGTCCTCCTATGAGTCAGGCATTACTGTACCAGCTGCTGCAAATATGAGCCCACTAGGAACGTTCCCTGCCTTTGGTGGCTCTAGGTCAAGAAGAGGAGTCTGGTCAGCCAAGGAGATGGTGAGTTACAAGGTTGGTGGGGTAATTGGAGCTTCCAATTCTGTCTTGGGAGACTGAAGTCAACAGGCAAGGAGTTAGGGATGAGGCTTATGTTGCCTTCCAAACATCAAACTGGTGGGTTTTTTTCAAATAATACTTAAATCCAGCCAAACCAGTTGGTAAATCCCTTGTCCTTGCTGGGGGCAACAAAATATTGGACGTTAACAAAACCTGCCACAGGTCACTATCGGCTAACTCCCCACTGGGCAGTTTATACACTAAGAAAATCACTCAGCATTTTGTATCCACTGTCTACCCCAATGCTTGAGAGGCCCATTCTATTATTTCTCCATTTTACAGATCAGGAAACTGAGGCTTAGAACAGATAACGTATTCCCAAGCGCAGCTGGTGAGATGGACCCAAATGAGGTTCTCCTTCTCCCACGGCCCCTCATCTGCCCCCACAGGAGCATCCACACTTCACGGCTTGGCCCCTTTACCATCTCACCCTATCCCAGCTATATTTCCAGCTCCTCACCCTGACTCTCCCTGATCCCAGGCCCGTTTCCCATCTTCCCTTCAGCTCTGAGTCCTGTTCTTATTCAAGCTTCAGGCTCAGCCCTAAAGCCTGCCTCTTCACACTCTCTCACTGCCCTCGAATCCATACCGAGAAACCTCCCTCTGCTCAGAATTGCATCTTGCCTCATGCTTCTGGTTGAGCATTCACTTTCCTGTAATAGTGTTAATAATTAAAATAGTATTTGTGTCTCTCCACCAACCCAAAGAATCCTAGCTGGAGTTACTGGGCACCTACCATGCTTTCTGCTTGACTCATTTATCCTCACGACTCTGTGAGGCAAATGTCATTACTATTAACACTTCCAGTTTACAGATGAGGAAACTGAAGCCTGGAAGGTTTAGCAGCTTGCAAAAGCCAGAGCGTAGAACCCTAACCATTACTGTCAGATGGTTCTGAAACACAAGGGTGGCACAACTTTATCTACTGGCTGCCTTGCAGGCACTAAATGCTGTGGATGGAGCTTCTCTCTGCCCTTCTCTGGTTCTAAGAACCAACTGTTTAATGAGTGCCTTCTAGTCATTGAAAAAATACATCTTGCTCCAGTGGCTTCCCCCTCTTAGACAGTTCATTGTACTTTGCACAGAACTCTAAAGTTACACCACGTGCAAAGTCAAGGGCGGTTTGACCAGTCATTTGAAAATGGACTATAACATGGCTGATAATTCTATAATCTTGGAGAATCTTGACACCAAGATGTCTCCTATTTTCAGGTGGAAGCAGAGAGAAGGAACCTGGACTTCAGCCTCAGTAAACAAACAAAAGCTCCTCTGGAAATTTAGTTAAAGGTTGAGGAGCAAACTCTACACTCCACCCCCACCCCTGGGGGCAGCACCAAGACAGAGATCCTGTAATAAGATAGATTTCTTCATTCCCTTAATCCAGGGCCCCAGTGGAGCTGTTGGCCCGGGGCATCAGAGATCTCCTAAAATGGTGGTTAAGGGACTGGATATTTTTCCCCTGCCACTTTCTTTCCAGGGCAATGTGGGCAGTTGGGGGATTGAGGTTTAAACTAGCTAGTACCATCCCCAAAACAACGTTTCAATTGTTTTTCCAGCCGGGTGATAAATATGCAAGTGAGACACTTTGTAGAATTTCCTGGAGGGCAGAGGTAGCAGCCTCAGGCAAACTGTCCCTCCCACTTAACCCCACGAGGCCCAGAAAAGCATCCCACCATCTGACTTTGAACCTTTCCGAGCAGGATGCCCACACCAGTCGGCAGTTTCCTTTAAAGCTGTCTTTCCTAAGGATTCCCAGCTCAAGCATCTAGCCTCAATTCATAACCAAATCACTCCAGCCCATCCCAGAGCTAAGCCCCAGGAGCCAGGAATATGCACGGGGGGAGGGAAGACACCTCCCACCAAAAGTAACGGAAGTTTTCCCAATCCGCAGTGTTCTAGGGCTTCCTCCCCATCCCCCGGCCGGGGCAGGGGGCGCTTTGGGACCGCCCAGGAGCGCCCAAGAATTAACACCTACACCAAGGGACTGGAGCCCGCAAAGGTTCGCATTAAGGCCCACCTGGCTAGAAGCTGGGGTCATATGATTCGTAAAAACACCACTCCCTGGCTCCGGCTGGCTGTGAGTCAGTGGAATGGGACTTAATCTTGGAGGTAGCGGATACCTTTGAGCAGGCAATCTTGGAAGTTCCACCCAGGAAAGCGCAGATGGGCGTCGTGATAAACTGTGGCCTACAATTCCAAGAGGCTGGGTGGGGGTTGGGGACCGAAGCGCGGAGAACAGAGGGAAACAAACACTGCAAGCCACTGCGGGCGGGGCCATGGGACAATTTGCAGTTGAATCCGATTATCCGTCCAAATGATTCAAGAAGATTTGATAAACACCAGTTTAAAAGTGCCCGGCACAGACCTCGTGTCTAACGGGCACTTCATAATTGGCACTGGGAATAGTTGTTACTGTGAAAGACCTACTGTGTGCCAAGCTCTCACGACTGTCTCCGGAACGCAAGGAACGGGGAGAAATTCCCTTCGAGTTCAAACAGCGCTGGGAACTGCGCCCCAGAGGAGGGGATCCCAGGACCTGGGGCCTCTCCTTTCCCACCCCCGGAACGCCAACGGCCTGGTTGTGCTTCAGGCGCTATGCACAGAATGGGGGAAGGAGGCTGTGTCTGAGCGCTTTGGGCAGCTCCAGAGGCCACGCGGGAGGGCTGTGCCCATGCGGGGAGCGGGTCTTACGGGCGTAGCGGCCGGCTAGCCCGCAGGCAGGAGGACACGCGGAGGCGCCCTGGCCGCGGCCCAAGGGCAGGTGCAGGAGCGGCGCAGCCGGCGCGCAGGGTGCACCGGTCCCGGGGCGCGCCAGGGAGGGGCGCCGGCCCCGGGAGCCCGACGCCAGGGCGTGGTGCAGGTGGCGGCGGGGGCAGAGTCGACTCCGTACCTTGATTTTCGACCTGGCGACCGGGCGCTGCTTCGCCGCCAGGTGTCCATCAGGGCCCTCGCCGTCGCCGGGCTCTGGGGTTTCGCGCTCCGGGCCGCGCGGGGACGAGCTGCTCTCTGCGCCTCCGGGCTCCCCCGCGCTGCTGCTGCCGCCGCCGGTGCTACTGCCGCCGTCGCTGCGGCAGTCCTCGGGGGGATCGTGGAGCAGACGGCCCAGGCCCACTGCGGAGCGAGGGCCGCACCCCGACACACAGACACGCGGCGTCAGGCCCGGACGCCCGCGGCAGTTTGACCTGCGGGCGGTGCCGCCGCCGCCGCCCCTCCCCGGACCTGGGCACCTCGCCAAGTGGGCAACGCCGCGGGGGTGGGCGAGCGAGCCCCCGACTCGGGCTCCCGAGCAAGCTCGGGGTCCGGGGGGGGGGGGGGGCGTCCGCTCTTCGTTCCCAGTTTCCGTGCCCACGAGGTACGGAGGGCCACGCGCGGCTGGGGACACCGCGCGCCAAATTTCCACTCCCTGGGACGCTGATGGGGGGACCCGATCTCGAGCCACCTGGCCCCGGAGAGATTGACCCATCCCTGTGCAACCCCACGAGGACGTGGGATTGAGGTTGCCCCTTCCTGGCCCCCAGTCCCCCTCCTGGGCCACCTCCGCCCGCCGCAGCCAACGGTCCCGCCGCCGGGCAATTAGAGGCGCCCACTAGGGAGGAGGGGGTGCAGGGCGTCGCGGGTTCCCAGCCTCTCACTCTCACTCCTCTCGTGCCCAGGTAATTTCCTCCCCCCTCCCCCGAAGGAGGGGCATGGGAGACGGAGGGAGTCCAGCCCGGGTCGTGGAGCAGAGGGGACCCGGCCACCCCTGCCCCCACCCCATGAACCTGGCGCCCAGGCCCGGCCCCCGCGCGGCGCTCACCTGGGATGTAGGTGTCTGCCCTCTCCTCGTCCGGGAGCTCATCCCAGCTGCGGACCGAGACCCCCGGGCTCCTCCTCTTCACCAGGAAGACTTTGGGCATCGTGGGGGCCCTCTCCCCGGACTGCGGGCCCCTAGTCCCGGTTGCTCCCCGCTAAAGGCGGCGGCGGCGGCGGCTTGGTCCCCGGCTCCCCGCGGCCGGAGCCCACCTTCCCGCCCCGCCTGCCCCCTCCCTCCGCCCCCCACCGCCGCCGCGCGGCCGGGCCTCTCGCCTGCACGCCGGGAGACTCCCAGCCTCCGGGCTCCGCGACACCTCTGCCTGAAATCGCGGGTGAGACCACGCCGAGGAAAAAAGTTTCATAAGGTGGAATAGAAAAGGCACCAGGAAACTTGGGAGTGAGCATGCGCCCTGCAACATAACGGTGTCAACAAGCTCGCTACCTGTCCGACCGGTTCCGGCGGCCGGGGCTGCCTGTTCCAGCCCTTCCTTAGGCATGAATGTTTGCAAAAGAATTTAACGTCTGATTCTCCCCCCTCCCCTTTGTAAGAAGGGAAGGACGCTTCTCTCTGAACCCCCTGCCCCATGCCGCATCACAGGCACTTCAGGG